CTGCCTGCTTCCTGCTTCAGGCTTCCCACGAATCAAATGTTCGCGGGAAGCAGGGGAGGGGGCGGGAGGTTGGGGTGGGGACGTTTGGGGAAGGGATGGACTTGGGCATGGGCGGGGCTGGGGGTGGGGCCAGGGCTCCGTGGAGTGTCCTCTTTTTGGACACTCAAAATATGGTAACCCTATATTACCAGAGACTTGATTCACTGCCCATTGCAGAGCCAATGCAGGGATTGGAGCAGCTGCAGGTTATTCAGGGCTGAGGCCTTCACAAGACTTTTCTCCAAAACATTTGTTAGTTGTCAGAGTTCAGCATTAACAGCAGCAAACAAAGCCCAGACTCTAAACAGCTTCTCTAAACCTTCCCAGTTGTTCAACCTTCACTTCCTTCCCACTCCAGCTGTCCTTTGGCTTAAACTTCCAATTGTTACTGCTGGCTGGGTGGTGCTACTTTGGTCTCGCTGTATGGCTGGGCTTTTAAACTATGCCCAGGTGCCTAGAACCTACGAGGGGGACTTTCCTTCCACAATCTATATATCTAAATCTATATAAACCCATAATAAATCACTGGTGGCTCCACAGCCTGTTCCTGATAAGCCACAGTGGCTGCCCTAGAGTCTGCAGCAATGGATGCCCCACCTCCTCTGGCCTATGCTTTTTGCCTGTCTGGACAGTGGCAATATGGGAAGGGTTAAAGACCCCTGAGTTGGCCCCCAGCAGGGAACAGGGTCTGATAGTTGCAGTGTTCAGCCTGATGAGGAAGCAGGGGTGGGGAGACAAGGAACCGGTCTGAATTCCCAGATGTGTGAAAATGACTTTTCCCACTGAGCCCGAGAGGCAGAAATCAAGTGCCAGTTTCTCTGCAAGAAGACAGACAGAAATTAGCTTTTTATTTTAAAAATTATGTCTTTTTCTACACCTGGAAGGTAGGCAATTGTCCTGGGACCCACAGAACCCCTTATTTATCAGCCAACTGTTCCTATTACCCCAAAAATAGGACTCCAGGCATCCCTATAAGGGCCTGCCTATATTCACAACTTAATATCAAAACCAGACAAATTGAGAAGTGAAAGGGGGTGGCACAGCATAGAGGAACTGCCAGGGTTTTACCAGGGGGCTTCCCTCCAACCTGTGGAGAACAGACTAATTTTGTTAGCCCTTGGGAGGATATGGATATAGCCTTCTGCTCAAAGGATTGACACTCAAAGATTTTTGTTGTTGAATTACTGCTTATTTAAACACAATATTTCCTAATACAGTAAATTTAAAAAACATAATATTCAGAAAACAGCAAATCTAAAATCTATGAAAAGAAATAGAATGTTATGCCTTTTTTAAGAAAATGTGACTTTATTAGCACAGATGCACATTAAAGTACTCAAAATTGCAATATCCTACAACTGGAAGATAGCTTTAAGTGGTTACATTCTATATGCAATGGCTAATTGGATATAGGATGCTGACAGCAAGTTCTCAAACATTAAAATAATCAACATACATACACAAATATCCAACTTTATTATCCCATACACACCCACTCACTTTATTTCTTATTATTAGCTTCCTTTCCTGTTAACTTCCTTCCCTCTACTCTAGGTCCTTCTGATCTGTCAGACCTAATGTTGTCACTGCTACTTCTTCTTTGCTTCTACCCTCTTTCTTCATATGATTTCAACTCTTTTAGTTGCCTTTCTTCTTCTTCTTCTACTTCTCCCACTCATCCTAGCTCCTTCTACTCACACTAAGACTATGTCTTCACTGGGGGGAGGGGTCGATTTAAGATACACAAATTCAGCTACGAATTTGAGGTATCCGAGCCGACTTACCCCGCTGTGAGGATGGTGGCAAATCGACCTCCGTGGCTCCCCCGTCGACGGCGTTTACTCCTACCTGCACTGGTGGAGTACAAGCATCGATTCAGGGATCAATTGTCGCGTCCCGACGAGACGCGATAATTTGATCCCTGAGAGATCGATTTCTACCCGCCGATTCAGGCGGGTAGAGAAGATGTAGCCTAAGACTGACAGACTAACTAAAGCCTATTAGCTCTCTGCCTTATATACAGATGTAGCTTATCCTGATTGGTTCTCTTTTCAATCCCTATCATTATCAGCCAATCAGC